CTGCAGAATCCATGCAAGCTTATCTCTTAGAGACTCAACCACAGCCATCTTCGCTAAGGACACAGACGCTGGAGCTGGACTGCCTTGGTCAAGGTTGCTTACAAGCCTTATGGCTGCCTTGTGCTTATTACTTAATCTCTCTGAACCTCAATTTCATCATCTATAAAATAAGAATAATAGAGCCTCTACTCATAGGGTTGCCATGGAACTTTACTGGATTAATCCATGTAAACTTTCTTAAAATATATATATATATATATTTAATTTTAGAGAGAGGGGAAGGGAAAGAGAACCAGAGGGAAAGAAACATCAATATGTTGTCTCTCCTGCACCCCATACTGGGGACCTGGCCCGCAACCCAGGCATGTGCCCTGACAGGGAATCGAATTGGCGACCCTTTGGTTTACAGGCCGGCACTCAACTCCCTGAGCCACACCAACCAGGGCTCACATAAACTTCTTAAGCTAGTCTCTGGTACACAGTTGAGCTCCCCAAAGTCTTAACTAACATTATTAGCGTGGTCATCATCGCCACCACTGTCCCCACACTTGCTGCAACATATCCTGTTCTCTAGACGCCTAGAGCTGCTCACTCCCTGCCCACCCCATGCTCTTTCACGCCTCTGTCCCTTGGCACCTGTGGTTCCACTGCCCAGAAGAACCTCCCAACCTTCTTTTTCAGGAGAGCTCCTATTGACCCATCACAACCCCAGAAACAGTTACTCCCTCCTCTGAACATATATCCATCAAAAAATTTTAAGTGCATTATTTGAGACCATAAACTCCCCAAGGGGAGGTGGTCTTTGCAAACCCAGTCCTGACACAATGCCTGGCCCACGGCAGGTGCCTGACAAATGGCGGTAGTGTGATGCCGGGGAAGGTGGGCATCAGAGCCCGTAAGTAGGGCAACTCCTCAGTGTGGGCTCAACCAAAAAAGGCAGACTTAGGTGCTGTGGAGGAGCAGCAAGGGGCACCCCACCCGCACCCCTGCCAATGTTCAGGTGGAAGCATCAGAAAACCCATGAGTGAGGAAAGGTGACAGAGCTATTAACTCTTCGCCCCATGCCTCCTGCCAGCTCCCCCAACTCCATCTCAAAACTAAGTCTTGCTGATTCGCTCTCCAGGGCACCACCCAGATCTGCACACTCTGCATCATTTCCCAGACAGGCTCAACCCCTTCATCTCATGCCTGGACCTCCCCGGCAGCCACTAACTGGAACTCCTAGCTCAGCTCCTGCTCTGCCCCCTGCACAGCAGGAAGGGGGTCCTTCTTTAAAGGGGACTCGGATTGTATAGCTTTCCTTCATAACCCTTCCCACTGCACTTGGTACAGACCCGAGCTCCTTGCAGGGCCCAGCACGCCCTGCCCGGTCAGGCTCCTGCCGTCCTTCTCTTGCCCCCATCACTCCTGCCAACCTCCAGCCATGCTGGCTCCTGACTCTTTCTAGAATGAGCCAAGCTTTTCCTACCCCAGGACCTTTGTATGTACTGTTCCCTTTGCCTAGATGGCTGTTTCTGTTCTTCCTAGAGTTGGCTCCTTCTCATTTACACACAGCCTAAATGCCAGCTGTCTGGAGAGGTCTTCCCTGACCGCTGTGCCCAAAGCAGGCTCTGTTCAGGCCCCATCCTGTGGACTTCAGCCATGGCACCATATGTGCTTGCTCCAAAGCACTTACCACATGTCATCTGTCTAATTCTTTTCATTCTGTCTCCCCAGAGACGGGAGGTACCTGAGGGCATGGACTAAGTCTGTTTCTCTCCTTGTTACCTTCATCATGAAATAGGGCGCCCGACTTAATGCATCTTTGTGGAATGGCAGACTGTACCAAGTACCCATAATATGCCAGGCAAGGTGCTGGAGAGACAAATGTGCAGCTTGTGAGACCTCTGCAGTAATTCCAGAAGTAGTAGTATGCTCACTTTACATACGAAGACACCCCGTTGGGAAGTTAACTTGGTCTGTGTCATAAAGCGAGTAAATGGCCAAGGTGGCGTGTGAGTGCACCTCTGGCTGACTCTCCCCTGTCCGGGACTGCTTTCCGAACCCTGTCACAGCCCAGGATGCAGGCAGAGCTTCCAGCAGACACGAGGCTCACTACCAGTGTAAACAGTGCATCAGCACATGCTCCCTTTACAGCTCTATTTTTATCTTTATTTAAAATACCAAGACATCAGATTTAAGGAAGACCCTGCTGAAATGCCCAAGTGACTCTAGCATAACATTTGTATGGATTATAATTATTACTATTATATTTTTCACTTGAGTCTGAATGCATGGGGAAACTGGATACAAACCTGCCCTGCAGGTTGACTGCTGCCCTGTTAACCCACGGATGAGTGAGGACTAGAAGGCGGAGAGATGGCAAAAGCGGAAGAGGATGGCACTGGGCAAGATCAATGGAAAATGCACCTGCTAACGTGAGAGTGATCTTTCCAACCATCTACTAGCATTAATGCTATAGAGCAGTCAGCCGAAGGCCATCCCAAGCAAGGCCGATCAGCCGCGGATCTCGCTAGTAAAGCTCGCAGTCCAACGCAGAAAGTGGATCAATACAAGCTCTACCACCACCTCCACCAACAACAAAATAGCCAGTTGTTTGAGGCCCTTTTTAATGACATTTGTCATGTCATTAAATGCTCATAACCACCCTCTGCAGTAGGTACTGATATTATCCTTATTTTAGAAAGGAGAAAACTAAGGAACAGGAAGGCTCAGTAACTGCCCGAGGCCCGACAGCTATCAGGTAGCAGGGCAGGGGCTGACCCCTCTTTCCAGGGTGCCGCACACACGCCGAGTTCTCACATGGCTGGAGAGTCCTTCCATGTCACCATCTGGCCCCTTCCAAGTCCACAGACTTTCTCTCCCTTCCTCTAATTTCTAATATTTAAACTGATTTTCTTTAAGGCGCTTTCATGTCATGCAGCTTTTCATGGGAAAAGAGAGGGAAGGCATCTATTTTCATAACAAAACGGTATGGAGATGAGCAGGCAGTTAAGTAAAAGCACAGTGCCAAGGCCCTGTGCTCGGTGACAGCAGGTGCCCTTCCTTCCCATCAACACTGCTAATGCCATAGACCCCAACCTCACCTTGGGGATTTACAACCAACAGCAGAAGCTGCCGCTGACCTTAGTTTAGCCCAGCAGTTCCCAAATGTATTTAACCACGAATGCCTTCTTTGAAAAGCGCCTGTTCCACACACAAAACAAATGTGGGGAAATGTTCACCCGACCTCTGAGCGATGCATAAAAACAGGGGCATGTGAGAGGAAGGGCCAGGGAGCTTCTCCAGAGCGCATGACCCTTGTCACGGCAGCTCTCTCCCCTCGTGCCTGCTGGTGGCAGCAACCCAAGCTGTCTCTTGGCCTTCACTGACCTTGGCCCTGCTGGGCTCCCATATCAAGGGGAAGCAATGTCTGCCGCCCCTTGAACTTCCTCCCCAGGGATTTCACATCCAGCCTCCCTGTGTTGATAAGCTGAGAAACTATCATAGAACGGACATGCTCAACAAAAAGGCTGGGGCAGGAATGATCCCCAGGGCCAAAGAGGGGTGGCAGTGGGGGATCTCCCCAGGACCTTGCCCATGCCCCTCAGTACCAGGCCCTGGAAATGGTAAACACACCCCTTCGGTTCCTGCAGAGCTTGACACTTAACAAAGCGATCTACATGCATTGCATCACTGCATCCCCCTGAAGATCAAGGATAAGTTGATCTTTATCCTTGATCTTTACAATACCAAAGAGGACAGGAGGCCTCGAAGAGAGAAAGGGCAATAGCCAAAATCACAGCAGGGTCTAATTGGTGCCCCAGACCCCAGTCTGGGGCCAGTGTCCTGTTGGGAGCTTACCCCCTGCATCATTCTGCCACCTGCCCTGTCTATTTGTGGTGCTGGGATGTGGCCAAATGTTGGATGGACAACATGGCTGCCTGAGCCACGTGGTAAAGGCAGGAGAGTTGAAACTGAAATTGCAAAGGGCAGTTTAGATGGAGGTCTCAGACTATAACAGGGTTGGGAAAGAAGAACCCGGATGGGGGAGGGGGGCCCTCCATAGCCCCAACAAATGTGCCCCCGGGGCAGGTAACCCTGGTCTGGGGAGCTGCAGCCCATGCGATCTAAAGATCACTGGGTGTGGCGGCTTCATGAGCAGGGAGGACGCCTGTAACTGGGCACCCCATTCTGCCCCCCGGGCCCACAAGGGCTCCCTCAAGGCTGGCAGAGCAAGGCCCATCTGACCATCGGGACTCTGCCTTGTCCCGTGAAGTCTAACCTCACGAGGCCTTCTCGGGCAGCCGAACAGCCAGCATCCAGGCTCCCTGCTTCTGCAGAGACCAGTGCCATCCAGGCTGGACTCTGGGGGGTTCTGGGGTTCCCTGGAGACCACTTGGGGCCACAGGGACCAGGATGGGGGAGAACTGGATAGAGTGTGCCAGGCTCTGGAGCCCCATCTAACTAGAACAGAGCTACTTGAGCCCGTTATATAAATGGAGCTTCTACATAAGCATTGATTTGAAGCAAGAGCCACAGCTCAAACGTCTGAAACTGCTGTTTACCGTGCTTTAGTCTTTTCACCACGTGCTACCTGTAGGCCACCTTCCCCACCCTGCACACATGCGGACCTTAGCTCAGGCCAGCACCAAAGGGAAGCTCCATTCCCCCGAAGTGGGAGGCCAGGACCCTCTGCCCTGCTGCTCCCAGGGACATCTTAGACCCCGGCTCTGCTCCACTCAGCAGAACAAAGTGGCCATGGGCAGTGAGCAGGCTGGCACCAAGAGGTCCGGGAAGTATTTCTCCACTCAGGCCCTCTCACTGGGAGCCAGGTCAGCCTGCATGGGAGCCTGGGCATCCTGAGGACTGGGGCCAGCATTGGCGACACCCACCGAGGATGCTGGGTACTGAGTGTGGAGGAGGCAGGTGGCCACCAGGTGGTCCCCAGATGGGGCGAGGGGCCTGTCCCTGACCACAAGGAGGACACTTCCCCAGGCTCCTGGGGGTGGGGCACTCACAGGGCAGCGTCTCGGCGCTGTTCTTCTGGATCATTATGCAGAGCTGTAGCACCAGTTGGGGGGCGCTCTCCAGGAAGGTCTCGAGGAGGCGCAACATGTTGACGTCTGCATATTCGTACATCATAGCCCAGTAGAAGCGTCGCTGGTGTTCCTTCCGCCGCTGGCTCTGGATCCCCAGGTACATGGTGCGGATATACCTGCCGAGAGAGGCGGAACAGAACAGAGAGCGTGGGTGGGGGTGGGGGCTCTGGAAGGGCCACATTGCCCCCAAAACCAGAGCCACCTATGCTGGTGTCTCCACCTTCGCTCTGAGGTTTTCCAGACACCTGAACCGGCCCTAGGAGTCTTCCCAGCCCACGGACACACATACAGACACAGGGCTAACTAAGGCTTCGGGGTGGCATTTGTGGAGCTTCTACTAAATACCATGGCTGACTGGGTCCCAGTAAATAGGCAGGTGTCCCTCCCACATGGGACAGATGGGGAACAGCCACGGACCCACAGTTGGATGGGGGAGCAACCAGAAGCCAGCCCCTGGCCATTGGACACCAAAGCTCATGTGTCCCTAGACTCTAGGGAGACACGGAGCCTGCACTGAGCCTCTGTGCAGGTCTGACCCAGGATGCAGCCACACAGATGCACTGACCCTGCTCCATCCGGGAGGACAGGGGCAAAGGAAACGAGTTTGGGTGGAGGACATGGGCTCCAGGTTCAAATCCCAACTCTGTCATTTGCTAATGGGACTTTGGACTAATTACCCCAGCTCCATGTCCTTGTTATTCTTTAACATGGAGAAAGGGATCACAGCATCACAGAGTTGGGTGTGGGGGAGATTAGGGAGGTTGTCAGAGAGGTGGGCACACGTCCTGGGTCCAGGAAGAAAGCTCCATGCCTCCTTTTACTCAAACTTTCAGCAGCTGTCTGCAAGCCCCAGTCAAGGGGAGGATCTAAAGGACCAGGTCGGTCAGCAGTTTCCCGGGCCGGACCAGGGCCAGAGGAGCCGCGGCACCAGGGCTAAGGCAAGTTCAGGAAGCATGGCTGTGTGGCCTGATTGGGCCACAGAACATGAACCATAAACCAGGGGCTGCAGCTTAAGGGGACAGACCCACACGTGCATCCCTGACCATCCCAGGGAGCATAATCATTGTGCCATCTATGATACCGAGCCTGAGTCATAGAGGCTAAGAGCATGGTTGACAGCCTATGTGGTCCCCACTGCCTTCAAGCATTGTCACCTACCCACCTGGAGCTGCAGGGTGGTCTTTTCTCTGTGTCCCAGCACCACCACCGGCCTGGTCCCTACCACAGCCCCTCCTGCCCGAATCAGAGCAGAAGCCTCCTCACTGGCCTCCCAGCACCCACTCCGGCCCCAGAACCACCCGCTCTGCACACAGCAGCCAAGGTGCTCTTTGAAAATCATAAACGCAATCATGTCAACCCCTTTTTTAAACCACCCCACGGCTTCCCACAATGCTTAGGATCAAATCCCCACCTCCTCCGTTGGCTCATGGGACCCTGCCTGCCCCTCACTTCTCATTCTCTTTCCCCACATTTTTGTCTCTTTTCTGTCTCCTGTGGAGCACACGAGCCTGTCTGTTGTTCATGCCGTGTCCCCAGTGCCTATCCTGATAGAAGGAAGACACCTGCCTTCTAGGACCGAGGAGTCCCAGTTGGACGACTGTGTCACGACACAGCAAAGGTGGCCCATGCTCCTGCCTGCAGCAACCTTATGAGAGGGATCAAAGAGCAGGTCCCCGAGAGGGGCTCGGCATTTCCCCAGGGCAATGTGAGACTGCACATCGCTCAGGAACCTTGTGTTGATGTTACTGAAGCCCATACTTTAGAAGCAAAGATGCCAAAACATCTTTGTAAAATAATTTCAACCTGCGGAGCGCTGCTCTCCTCCACTTCCAAAACGGGGGGTCTCCCTCCAGAGTGCTAATCACGGACTGGACCCCCACAGGTGATCGACTGCTCCAGGGTCCCCTAGGGTGTGCTCGGGACCCAAAGTAACCCTGCAAACCAATGCCTGGGACCTAGACCCAACACACTGGCAACAGCACGCTCCCACCCAACACCTGACAAATGAGGCTGTGGCTATCTCTCTGGGCTCCAAAGGGCCTGTGGGTGTTGCATCTCTGAAAGGTCCACCCATGGAGCTGGGACAGACACGTTACATCGCTGGAAACACACTCCTAGGAGTGAGCAGAGAGACAGTCCTGCCAGGAACCAAAGGCAGGAAGGCGGGAGGCACAGGCACAGGGGAGGATGGCACTGCGGCAGGGACACTGTCAGGGAGGGCGGGGGACGGGAGGACGGCAGGTGCCCCGGGCCCATCAGCTCCCAGAGCCCTCCCAGGCCCCGCGTGGCAGGCTGGCTAACGTCATTTAACACAAGGGAAACCGAGGCTCGGAAGTGACATGAAGCACTGAGTTTTCGTTCTGTTCCAGGTTCTGTCACTCACTAGCTGTGGCACTTCCCATGAGTCAAGGCTTCTCTCTCAGCCTCAGTCGGTAAGTTCCCAAAGTCAAGAGACCAGGGAAGAAGCTCAGAAAAGGGCAGGGAGGTTATTGTGCCTGATCTGTAAAGCCACGGGGTCACTGAGAGAGAAAGAGACCGAGAGACATAAAGAGACAGAGACAGAGAGGGAGATAGACAGGGAGGCAGAGGAAGGCGCAAACACACCCAGAGGAGGGATGCAGAAAGAAGCACAGAGAGGGAGATGTGGAAAGGCGAGAGAAAGTGAGAAAGGAGAGGAAAGCAGTGTCAAAATATGGGGGCCTGAAGGAGAGGGCCGCCTGGAAGAGATGGTGGCCACAATAAACCTGGGCAGGGAGGGCGCACTAGGAGGAGATAAGTCGCAAGGGGTTTGGGAGGGGCTGGGGAGGCCAGACTGAATCAGGGTGGAAGGAAGGGTCAGGCTGAGCAGATCTGGCGGTGGCCTGGGCAGGCGCAGTGGTGGGGGACAGGGGTGTGCTGGCTGAGGTGCTGAGGCAATGCTGAGAGTCAAGGTCTGCACCGGCACCCAGAACAGCCGGGGGCCCAGCAGGGCCGCGGTGCCAGCGGTCTCACAGGTCAGATGTGGCGTCCGTGATCCAACACTCCGCTCTCCCGACACGGGTACCAATGACACACAATGCCGGCCGCAGACTCCCACAGGGACCAGGCCACAAGTGTATATGTGCCCTTGCAGGGGTGCTCTGGGACCTCAGACTCCTCCTCTCCTGGCCTCACAGGGTAGACCAAGGTAGAGAAATGATTACGTGGCAGTCAGGGTCCTGCAGGCAGGTCCCAGGCCAAGTAACACCACCACTCAGATCCGCCCAGGTCTGCCCTACCAGGGAAAAAGGAGCACTTGACCTGCCCCTCAAGCCCCCATTTCCCCAAGCCACAAGCCCCTCTGCCCATCGCGTCCAGCACAACGGAAGGCAATGAGCCCAGAACATGCCGATTCCGCTGTAATGCCTAGCAGAGAAACAAACCTCACCCATCCTCTGTGAGGGCATCCCAGCATAGGGGAATAAATAAAGGTGGGAGTGGGCAAAGCTAGAGCCTCTCCCCCTGGTGCCTATAAACGAATGGATGCCCAGAGTGCACCAGGGTCAAGCCTAAAACCAAATCTGGAAATCACATCTCCTAGAACAGCAGCTCACATGGCCTCCCACCCTGGAATCCAGCCCAGGATTTCTAGATCAGGTGCCTTGTACTTATTCCCCCCCTTTGGCTCCTGAAAACTCATCTTCTCTTCTTAAGCCCTTGGGTCCCTAATAGACACCTGAGGGGGGTATGTAAAATCCAGAGTGGGTCTAAGTGACCTCCGGGACACCCAGCCAGCTGCCTAGGCTAAGCCTCCAGCCCCTGTGCAAAGACAGCCTTGGCCCATGGCCACAAGGTGGCGCCAGACACTAAGCCACGCAGGAAGGCTGTTCCGGCGGTGATCTCATCCCCAGTCAGCGGCCTCCCGAGCCCAGCACCCTCCTTTGCTGCAGCGTCGCGGGGCAGAAGGTGGCAAGCCCAGATATGCTGAGTCCCTATGGAAGGGACACGAGGTGACACAAGGTGGGCTACTGCTCCCCCAAACCATCAACCTCTCTCCCTCTCTGACAGTTTCCAGAAAGCTCACAGCCACCAGGAAAGTAGTCCAGGAGGAAAGACATCCAACTCTCTGGATTTGTTTCCACATCTTGCGTCACCACCTGTCAACACCGTGGCTCTCCTAAGAGCACCGCATCATGAAATGCATGGGTCTCAAAGCAGGCAGGCAGCGCATCATTGGACTGAGGACTCAGAAAGCAGGTCTACGGTCACACGACCTTGGGCAAGTCCCTGGCAAGGCTGGGCCTGTGCTATTCGCCCATTTTGGGGTGGGGAAGGAGGAGGGCAGACTGAGAATCTCCAGGCTTCTGCCGATGTTTTATAACTTCAATCTTGTTTAAATGAGTGGCTCTGCAGAGGTGAAAGTATGGCCTAGCATGTTTACAAATAATACCTGTTGTTTGTGGGTGATACAGGTGCCAGACAATGCTCTGAGCATTTCGTATTTATTAAGTCATTTAATCTTCGCAACAACCTGTTGAGGTAGATGCCATATCACCCTCATTTTCCAGAGGGCAACCAGAGCACCGCGGTTAGGAACTGATTGGATTTACCCAGCTCAGAGGTAGAGCAGGGCTCCAAGTCGCGCAGTCTGGCCCCTGGGCCAGTGCTCTCAAGGCCTCCCCACATGCCTCTCGGAGGTGCACCATGCGTCTCTCTGCCTGGGAACTTGGTACAGTGGAAAAGCATGAAGTACTCAAAATACCCGGGCTCTGTGCCAGTGCCGTCAGTGGCTGTGCTGCCTGGGAAACACCTCCTAACCTCTCTGAGCCCAGGCCCTCAGCTAGCAAATGCCTGGCCCAGAGGAGGACCCCGGGACGTGTTGAAGGGAGGAACGTATGCAATCATGCCCTCTGGGAGGGTCGCGGGGCAGAGGGGCTCACATGGCATGCCATGAGAATGTCTGGAAGACCAGAAACCACAGATGACAGCTTTTCCTGCCCCTCCCCTGCCCCCCGGTGCTTTCCGCCCATCTTTCCTTCAGCCCACTCTGCTTACTTGGCTCCCAACTCTATCTCCCCACCTTACTTTGTAAACCACAGGATTGGTCAAAGCTTCTTATACCTGCCTCCAGAGCCCTCTGGTTCTCTGAGCACACTTT